CAATTTTGTGTACATGTAAGATAAAAGGTCTGTATATTCCAGTGTCAACTCACCCCATGAACTCAAATAGTTTGTAAGTCAGCCATATAAATATTATTGATCCAGCCTGATAATGCTGATGGGTTGTACACTGGCTATACTTGGGCTTGTATTCACCCATCATTGGTGCTGTACCCACCAACCCATGGAGAAGGTCTATCTAGATTCAGCAAGGTTGGTTTTGTCTGACAAGGCCCAGAATCCCAACAGCTGCTGGTGATTCCCTGGTTGAGATGGCAATCACTGAATCAGTGCTGAGTAGAGCTGGGGATCTGTAGGCTAATGCCATGCTAATACCCTGTAATGGGGGATGAAGGAAACTGCTGGCACACATTGAGGTTGGCAGTGGGTAGCTAGATGTTGATCCTGCCCAGACTGCCAGTTAACCAGTCTCCACCCATGTCTGTAGTATTACACAGTAGGCGAAGGCTGTAGATAGTGCTAGCAGAGCCTGTGATGGGGGATTGTGGGTAGCTGGATTCGGATGTGGCTTTTGATGTTGCCCAGGAGGCATTCTAGCAAGTCTACAAATTCTATCATAGTCTTCCGACCATGCCTTGCAAGCTTCATGCTCCCCGTATCTCCATCCAACAATCCTTCACTTTCTGCCAGCTTCATCAGCCCTCAACTTTCCAGCCTTGTGTTCTTCCTTCTGACTCATTGTCTCAACCTTCCACCCTCAATCCTTCAGCCTGAGCCTCCCACCTTCAACCCTTGAGCCTCCCACCCTCAACCCTTCAGCCTCCCACCCTCAAACCTTCAGCCTCAGCCTCCCACCCTCAACCCTTCAGCCTCAGCCTCCCGCCCTCAACCCTTCAGCCTCAGCCTCCAACCCTCAACCCTTTAGCCTCCAACCCTCAACCCTTCAGCCTCCCACCCTCAACCCTTCAGCCTCAGCCTCCCACCCTCAACCCTTCAGCCTCAGCCTCCCACCCTTCAGCCTCAGCCTCCCACCCTCAACCCTTCAGCCTCAGCCTCCCACCCTCAACCCTCCAGCCTCAGTCTTCTTCGTCCCTCAACCCTCCAGCCTCAGCCTCAGCCTCCCACCCTCAACCCTTCAGCCTCCAACCCTCAACCCTTCAGCCTCAGCCTCAGCCTCAGCCTCCCACCCTCAACCCTTCAGCCTCAGCCTCCCACCCTCAACCCTTCAGCCTCAGCCTCCCACCCTCAACCCTTCAGCCTCAGCCTCCCACCCTCAACCCTTCAGCCTCAGCCTCCCACCCTCAACCCTTCAGCCTCAGTCTCCCACCCTTAACACTTCACACATCCACCCCCATAAAGTCTTGACCTTTTCTGTGTGGTGTTGTGATAAGTAAGAAAGACAGACTTTGGCATCAGGTAAACTAACTCGAGTTTCAGAAGCAATCATCCACCTCAAGGTTAATCTGACGCATTGTGGTTAAACTTAAGGGGTGTCCTCAAGATTTGATTATCTCCAAAATGTCTTTCTTTTAGCATTATTGTTACATCAAGTACCCATTACATTTTATGCTTGATCTATTTCAAACACAGGTCATATGTAAGATAGTTAGCAGTAGCCATTGTAAAGAGGGGCTGATACAGTAGCCGAGTGGTTAAAGCTTTCGCTCGTCACAGTGAAGGCCCAGGTTCGATTCCTCACATCGGTACCAAAAGTGAAGATGTCTCATGCCCCCTGAGGTGATATTGCTGGAATATTGCTAAAAGCGGTGTAAAAACCCTACTCACTCACTCATCCATCTGGCTAAGGATTGCTACAAATGATTGCTACAAATGATTGATACAAATGTTGGATGACTACTGAGAGGCTAAGAAGGAAGCCTTGTCGTCAACCCCAGGGTTGAAGTGTCATATATTAAGTACTTGCCTGTAACCAAGGTGATACGGGTCTTATGCTATACAGTATTGAGGGAAGATGCAACTTGACCCTAAATAAGTCCCTGGGGAGATGGTGTGCCTGTATGAGATTGTAGGCAGTGAAATCACTTGGCTAGATCAATGGAAGAATCTCTAGTGATTGCTGTTTGATGGTGATTGCCCTCGACTGATGGGGCAGTAACAACCCAATTAGGACGTGACTGTTTTATTTTTAGTTGAACTGTCACATTTTCTTCTAGATCCTTGTTGAGGCGACATTGATGGGGTTATGACCTTTGAGCTCAACAATCATCCTAATATTTGCCGGATTAATTTCTTTGCCCCAAGTGATTGATAAATCATCACAAATTGATTTGTCAAATGGATGTTGTATTCATTCAATGCTGTAGTATTTGTTGGAGTATGATTTCCTCATTGAAGAGTTACCCTGTACAAGTAGACTGAGTCTAATGTAAGTGACTTCTCTTATAATAAAGTTAGGCGGAGGGGTAGCCTAGTGGGTAAAGCGTCAGCTTGTCACCCCAAAGGCCTGGATTTGATTTCCCACATGGGTACAATGTGTGTCCCCTGCCGTGATATAAATGGAATATTGCTAAAAGCACTTCAACCCTAACTTACTCACATGTGAAGTCTCACACATCTAGTGCAGGGAACACCTCAATTCATGTTTCTGACCAACATGCAGTGGTCATCAAGTCTATCGAGTGTTATTGAACCAGACAGTCTGTATCATATTTCACACAGCCATCTATTGGTTTGTCAGATCCTGTCTTTGTCACAAGCCGACATGATATAGCTATATTCACTCTCTCTATAGATATAAAAACTGTCACGAATGACAATCAAGGCCTTTGTATCATAAAGATTTTCATAGTTTACTTAGATGGGATGATTGATTAGATATTGAATTCTTTCAACATTTTTCTATCCAAATGTGTATTCAACCACCTACACATTGTCATTAATAAGGCACATACAACCAATAGATGCTTTATTGTAGGTGTGGTGTAGCAGTGTTGTCGGTGAAGCTTCTAGACCCTTGAGACTTTGCTACTGGTCTGAATGCCAAGTCCAGTAAATAGTTCAATTGTTGAGTTTGCAATTTTAGCCAGTATTTGAGGCCTGTGTGGTAGATGTTCTTTCGGACTAGTCAAGCCTATGCTGTAGGTGTTGGTGTAGCAGTGAAGCTTCCAGACGACGCTGTAGGTGAGGTGTAGTGGTGAAGCTCCCAGCCGTTACTGTAGGTGTGGAGTGTAGGGGGACCATCTGGGACAGTCGGCTGGAATCAGGGCTTGTTACTGCTTGATGAATTGTGTGAAGAGCCTAATGAATCGTGTGAGGATGGGATTCTGCTCTGTAATCACCATCTTCCCTCCCTACTGACACATGCATCTGTTTACATTGAATCAGGACAGACATTCTCCAGCTAAAATAGAGACGGGCAAAAACTGTTGAACTTCTTTGTTTGTGTTGGTTGTGCATAGATAGGATTGTTGCTCCCAGTTTGGGGAACGTAGACCGCTGGTGTATTCTGCTCTCAAGAGCTGGGTTTGTTTAGACTAGCTTTGAAATGCTCGTTTGACTACCAATATCTCCTTTTGTTTCTGAACAGATAATACTTTCAGCATATTTATGTGGATGTAGAAATGAGACCAGTGAAAATATAGAGGGTCTAGTTTTTTCTCTCAAAACGAAGTTATTTTACAAAACAAATCACTAGTCAGAAATGAGTGTGGACTAGTTGTGTATGGCCAATGGTGTCTACCTCTGTATATTTCTCCCATTCCTTCTTGACTTTGTCCATGGAGAATGGTATGTATTGTACAGAATTTGTCCACAAGAGACTGGCTACAAAATGAGTAGTCATGACATAGTAAGAAAAACTGAATATTCCCTATGGTGTTTCTGGGCAAAATAGGCTTCAAGTTCCCTTGTGTCTGTCATAAGTGCTTTCAATTTTTAATTGACAGAAAAAAACTTGGCTTAATATTAGTGGAAACAAGAAATAATTCCACTTAGAATTCATTTTTACTGCTTTAAAACAATATTTTTTTTAAATTATTGCTATGACATTTATTTAGTCTTTAGGTTGGTGAAAGTAGCTTTCTTCTCTAAATATTTCCCTGGGTGGTGATCTGGGTTAAAATAGGTCCCCAGTACCCCATTTGTGGTCATAAGTGACCCTGTTGTGATACAGACATTTGAGGAATATACACATTACACCCTCAGGCCATGAGGTACACCCCCTGCACAGGCAGCCTGTCCTGTCCATCACCATGACAACTGGTGGGACAACTGGAGTTGGCAGACTGTCACTTTGTCACTGTCAGGGATGAGTGTGTACCGTGAAGCTGACAATAGCTCCACTAACGGCATTACCTCCCCTGTGACCTCACATGTTGTGTTCGGTCTGTGTCAACTGGGTAAGGTCACACCCCACTGACACGCCCACTGAACACACATCCCACATTAATGACTAAAGGACCCGTGAAGATCCGAGGTAGAATAGGTCTTCAGCAACCCATTCTTTTAAAAGGCAACTATGCTTGTTGTAAGAGGCGACGAACGGGATCGGGTGGTCAGGCATGCTCGCTTGGTTGATGCCTGTCATCGATTCCAATTGCGTGGATCGAGGTTCATGATGTCAATCACTGGATTGTCAGGTTCAGATACTATTATTTACATGATCATATGGCTGGAATATTGCTGAGCCGCGTTTAACAACAAACAAACAAAACAACAATAAACAGCTGGAAGAAAGACCTTAACACAGAATGTTCAGTCTCAGTTACATATAACATAAATAGAAACAGTAGAAGAAGTCAACTGACTAACAAGTGAAATTGCCAAGTTTGAATATTTTTTGGACATACTTGGTATGTGTTTGTGTTTTTCTACTGTGCATTAGGAAAACTGTGAGCTTGAAGTTTGATTTGTGTAGGTTACTAGTTACATCTTGAGTGGCTATAGATGCAGTTGACATCTATGTGAAAACATGGCATCAACTTCAGGAAAGGTTAAAAATGTGAAACTATCAGTAATAACTGGACATGAAAGGTTGGATCTTTTGTTGACACAAATTACAGTGGATGTGTTGTTTTCAGGTCCCCGAATTAATGGCCATGCAAAGCATGAACGACATCGAGAGCGGCCTCCCGGCCCCCATCAGTATGAGACATCCACCATGATGAGCAGTGATCTCGAAACCACCAGCTTCTTTGACTCGGAGGATGATAGCAGGTGAGACACCATGTAATTGTTGGCTTCGTTCAATATCACTGTACATTCTCGCAAAATCAGGTGCCCCCTGCCCTGATATTGCTGAAATATTGCTAAAACTCACTCACTCACTCTCAAACTGAACATTATAACAAGGGACCATCTCTGTGGTCCAGTGGTAGAGCGTCCGCCCGGAGAGCGGAAGGTCCTGGGTTTAATTCTCGGCCGCGTCGCACCAAAAGATGGTTCCTTTGTTGTTACCATGTCTGGCGCTCGGCATTAAGGGGCAAAAACAAGGACTAGTCGGCTCAGAGTTGGTGTACTGTGTCTGAGTGGGGTGTTAATGTTAAACTGTAGCATGGTATCTCAGTGAGCTAGCACTATCAATCAGCATCAGTCCGTACTAGAACAAGCCGACACACACATGCATACATGTACATGCACGTCGCTTCATTAAAGTGGACGAGACATTAAAATCAATTTGACCTCACCTTTTAACAAGGGTTAATTCGCTTGACAAGCTGTCGTACCATTGAGTTATGTATTGCATGACCAATGTCATTGAATACAATCTCCGAGCAGCGGCAGAAACTAACATTTTTAGTCCACTAGTCCTTGTAATGATAACATGCAGGCATCTTAAGGGTTCATAAAATTTCTGGCATTTTGGGAAGGTATCAATGAGGGGGGGAAATCTTCAGGTTCATAACAAATTATGGATGATAGAATGCATATGATATGTTGTGGTACGCATCACAATACCTGAATCATTATTGCACTAAATTACAACATGAAAGTCAGGCCAATACCCAACTAGTCCTCGTTAGTCAAAAGTTGGGTCCTTAACAAAAGTTGAGTAGTATATGTTATCACTATTAGGGTTGGAACATGTATCAGGTTAAGTTGTCTCCCCTAGGACCAGTTGGTCAACATGGCTGCTGGGTATGGATAATGGATGGCACATCGCTTGGGAACTCATGTATGTGTCTCTACCAAAATCAGAAATTCATTATCAGCCGTGATATAACTGAAATACTGCTCAGTGCAGTGTTTGGACCAGTGCACCAATCTGATCATTGTATTTTGTGGTTACAGGTTTTCAACAGTTACTGATACAACAGGAATGTCATCACGATATGGTCGCCATCGGAAACGGCGGAGGAGACATCGGCCGCCTCCTATCAGTAGAGTAAGATTATATCCTGATGTTATTTTTTTTTTAATATAAAATAAATGCTAATGTTGCATTAGTGTAATTGGGATATTTATTTGCTCACCAATCATTTGGGATATTCCCTTATTTTGATGCCTGGGGAGAAGAGGTTGCCAATTACCCAGGCTTGTAATAGAGCTGGATATATAGAGGAATGGGTGGTTATGTGTGACTGGCTGATTGTGTGTCATCATACCCCGACAGCATGATGTTTACCTAACCACCGGTTTGCTCCTTCAGACTTTTTAGTTACAGACCACTGTGCCAAAAACCTTCTAAATAACTATCTCAAACTTTGTAATTATTTTTCATAATGTGTTATTTGTTTGCACATGGTCTTTACTGCTCGAACTGAGCTCTTGGCATCATTTGCACAAATTATAGTGTTATTAAATGTGGCATTAAATCTTAAAACATGATTTTTCGAGTCTTGTGTTTCGGTGAATACTGAAAACTGTTGACGCTCTGGTCAGTTTTGGAAAGGGTTGGTTTGTAGACAGTTATTGCCATCTGATATTGAATTTGTTATTTTTGTGTTTATCATTGATCTGTGTTTTGTTTCAGGCTTCATCATTTAGCAGTATAACCGATTCGACAATGTCTCTAAACATAATAACAGTTACACTTAATATGGGTAAGTTGATGCACTGTTCAGTAGTGTCATGTCTCTTGCTGTTTACTTTGTAAATGGAAGAATATGCAGTTGGTATGCATGGTGTGCGGATTATCATCAGTTTGATCATCAGTAAAAGAACAGCTATACAACTAAAACTTCATGACATATGCCTTACCATTTGTCAGCAAACTGTTAAAGGCTCTGTCAATATTAACTTCAACATTAAGTAGATTTGTAGTTGCTAATGCTTCTTATCACTGGATGTGATTGGAAAGGACAAAAAGAAATATTCATGACCTGTAGATTCAAATTTGAGATCAACAGATGATTTGCATTAGTTAAGGTTGGCTTATGTTCAGTGGTGTATGTGTGTTACAATGATGTTGGTTTGTGTTACAGTGATGTTGGTTTGTGTTACAGTGATGGTTTGTGTTACAGTGATGATTGCGTGTTACAGTGATGTTGGTTTGTGTTACAGATACAGTCAACTTCCTGGGAATCAGTATTGTGGGACAGAGCAACAAGGGAGGGGATGGCGGCATCTATGTGGGCTCCATCATGAAAGGGTGAGTACGCCAGACTGACGCCTGTCATAATGGCAACACTGAAACTGGAAGATCTTGATATCCCTTGACTCTTCAAGGAACCCTTTCCCAGTGAAGAATTCCCATACTTTTTCGTAAGAGGTGATTAACAGCATCGGGTGCGGTGACTGGGTTGATGCATGTTGCCGTATCCCGTTGGTCAATGCTCACTGGATTGTGTAGTGACTACTTTATTTCAGTTATGTAAAAGAAGCCATTCTGTTTTCTTCATTACAGCGGCGCTGTAGCTCAAGATGGCCGCATTGAACCAGGGGACATGATTCTCGAGGTGAATGGTATCAGTTTCGAGAACATGAGTAACGATGATGCCGTAAGGACGTTACGAGAGGCAGTACAGAAACCGGGGTATGTTGAATACCTTGGCTTACTTGAATAGTTTTGCAATTTGTAAAGCTTTATTACAAATAACTGGAATATTAATCCTGTAGCTTTAAACTACATTCCCTCACTTAATAAGCTTTGTGTTAAAAATATCCAAACAGTATTCAAAAGGTATTTAATGTAGCAATTGGCAGATACAGTGTATAGTTGATGAATAGTTTTATGAGATGTTCAGATATTGCCATTATCCATTGGAATCACCTGTGTGATAACTGATTTATGTCATCTTGTTTCAGTCCAATCACACTAGTCGTAGCCAAATGTTGGGACCCAAACCCTAAAGGTTATTTCACAGTTCCAAGACAGGAGCCAGTTCGGCCAATCGACCCGTCGGCGTGGGTTGCACATACGACTGCGATGCGGGAACACTACATGGGGCGTGGCGGACCCAGCACCTCAATCAGCAATATGACGTCAACTAGCTCCTCACTCACTAGCTCTATACCTGAGTCAGAACGTAAGTTCATCCCTCTATCTGGAAGGGGTAGTAGGGAGATATCACTTTCCCAACTGCCCAAAACACATGGCCCCATACCTGAGAGCATCCTTCAGGCTATGGGACAGATTTGTTTCATTGTTGTTGTTTTTATCATTTGGGGCAAGAAATGGAGGTGGATTGTCTATTTCCTGCAGGGTTTAGGGTTGATGGGGGTAGCTAAGTGGCTAGAGCGTTCGCTCATCACATCAAAGGCCTGGGTTCTATTCCCCACATGGGTACAATGTGTGAAGCTTATTTCTTCTGTTATGATGTTGCTGGAATATTGCTAAGAAAGCAGCATAAAACCCAACTTGCTCATATGGCACTTGCTGGCTACTGAATACTATGTTAAGTACTTATGATTAAACTGTTGGGATTGTTGACGTATACATGCAAGAAACAATATACGTTGCTACATGACATTGCAATATGGTTGTTGCCCTTATAAACTGTACTTAATGGCTTAAGCACAAATGAAATAAAATTAACAAGCTATTTTTTTGTTTTCAGGGTTTGATGACTTAAATCTCACAGTGAATACTGACATGGCAACCGTTGTCAAGGCGATGGCACAGCCAGACTCAGGGCTGGAAATCCGAGACAGAATGTGGCTCAAAATAACGATACCAAATGCTTTTATAGGTATATATATATATATATATGTTTATATGTATGCTTCATGTTTTAGAGCAGAAAAGGCTTCAATACCAAGTGATTGTTGTTATGGCAACTAATTGGGAATCAAATGGCCACAATGGCTGCCAATTATGGATAGTCCTTTTGATAGTTTATCCCTCACAGAGTAGCTGTGATCAAGTTGATTCAGTGTTCCTCCATTGCAATATCTGCTTGATGAATGAGTTATCGTCTGACCTTCCCGAATAGGTTCAGATAGATATTAGCTTCCAATATATGGGCGACCCCTGAACATCCAGGTAGAGAATAGGTCTTCAGCAACCCATGCTTGCTGTAACAGGCAACTATGCTTGTCGTAAAAGGCGACTAACAGGATCGGGTGGTCATGCTCGCTGACTTGGTTCATGCATGTCACCGCATCACAATTGTGTGGATCGATGCTCATGATGTGAATCACTTGATAGTCTGGTCCAGACTTGATTATTTACAGACTGCCGTCATATAGCTGGAATGTTGCTGGGTGCTATGTTAAGCAACAAACAAGCAATATATGGGTGTATGTGCAGACAAACATGACTAAATCATTGGGCAATATATGGGTGTATGTGCAGACAAACATGACTAAATCATTGGGCAATATATGGGTGTATGTGCAGACAAACATGACTAAATCATTGGGCAATATATGGGTGTATGTGCAGACAAACACGACTAAATCATTGGGCAATATATGGGTGTATGTGCAGACAAACATGACTAAATCATTGGGCAATATATGGGTGTATGTGCAGACAAACATGACTAAATCATTGGGCAATATATGGGTGTATGTGCAGACAAACATGACTAAATCATTGGGCAATATATGGGTGTATGTGCAGACAAACACGACTAAATCATTGGGCAATATATGGGTGTATGTGCAGACAAACACGACTAAATCATTGGGCAATATATGGGTGTATGTGCAGACAAACACGACTAAATCATTGGGCAATATATGGGTGTATGTGCAGACAAACACGACTAAATCATTGGGCAATATATGGGTGTATGTGCAGACAAACATGACTAAATCATTGGGCAATATATGGGTGTATGTGCAGACAAACATGACTAAATCATTGGGCAATATATGGGTGTATGTGCAGACAAACATGACTAAATCATTGGGCAATATATGGGTGTATGTGCAGACAAACACGACTAAATCATTGGGCATTATATGATGCATGGGGTTCATTCATATCCTCCTCCTCCTCCTAACATGACTTCATTGAGTGAAAATACGTGTTAAACATTGATTATTACAAGAATGGCATTATTTGATAAAGAGATTATTTTCCTTGTGTGTGCGTCTTCTTGTAAATATCATGTGTTAGGAAAGAAGGATATGTATTATTCTCGCCATAGGCTCACATAAACCAATTGTTTATTCTTAACAAATGATATTTACAGTAAAGAAACCGCTCAACTAATAATCTAATAAAGACTGAAAAGGATGCTGAAAGAGTGATCTTGAATCAAGAAATTCGGACAAATTGTTGTGACATGATAATCAGGTCATTTATTCTTTCGCTCAGGTTCCGATCTTGTAGATTGGCTCTTTACGCACGTGGAGGGTTTCGCTGACCGGAGAGATGCAAGGAAATATGCTTGTAATCTGCTGAAAGCTGGCTACATCCGGCACACAGTCAACAAGCTGACGTTTTCAGAACAGTGCTACTACGTCTTTGGAGATCTCTGTGGTAAAGTTTTGTCTTTTAATCATTTTCAGTGTTCAAATCCAAGAGTTGCCTGATTATATTTCAGGTTTTGTCAGCACAATACCCATGTTCATGTGGTAAAGTCTACGGCCTGAATCATTTTGTGTTAACTTGTTAACATGAATACTGTTCAAAGTAGCATTAAGCAAATCTTGTTAACTCACACTGTTTAGCATTTCCTCTCACATCAAGCTGACACGTCATGATATAACTGAAATCCTGTTCAAAGCAGTGTTACAACACACTCACTCACCTGCTAATTTACGACATCATCTTTGGTCAGTTTTTTTTTAATTTCCATGATAATGTAGTGTGAATAGGGATTCCAGGTTAGAGTAGTCTACTTTAACCTTTGCTTGTCAACTAAAATTGACCGGGGGGTCAGGCTTGTGTGTCATCACTGTGTGACCTTCCATGGAGAACCCAGGTTAGAATAGGTACCCAGCTATGTCTGCTGGTGGTAAAAGGTGACCAAATGGATGGGGTGGTCAGACTCAGTCTTGCTTGATAGCGTATCATTGTTCCCCATCACAAGGATCGTTGCTCACAACATCAGTCACTGGATTGTCTGGTCCCGACTTGATTCTGTACAGGCTGTCATACAGCTGGAATATTGCTGAGTGCGGCGTTATCAGATAAAAGTTACACCCTGACACAGTGCTCATGATATTAACCAGTGGTTTGTGTGGCCCAGTGTATATACTGGTGTATAACAACAATATAATAATGACCTCCCATGTGGTGTATACAATGTTATATACTTGCTCCTCTCTCCTGTTTCAGGTCCTCCGCAGTATCCAGGTAAGCCTGCAGTCACTGATTGCATTTGTCACCTCCCATATCTCCTCCTTAATCAGTTGCCAGAATTCTAAACTACTTAAAAACAGTGGTGTCATTGGTGGGAAGTTTGGTATCACTATGTTGACTCAAGAGTATCACAGCATATCAGAGTATGGCAGTATATCAACAGACCTGTGAAGATCCGGGGTAGAATAGGCCTTCAGCAACCCATGCTTGCCATAAAAGGCAACTATGCTTGTCGTAAAAGGCGACTAACGGGATCGGGTGGTCAGGCTCGCTGACTTAGTTGATGCATGTCATCGATCCTAATTGCATGGATCGATGCTTATGATATCAATCACTGGATTGTCTGGTCCAGACTCTTTTATTTACAGACCGCCGTCATATAGCTGGAATATTGCTGAGTGCGGCGTTAAACAACAAACAACAAACAAAACTGTATATGCATAAGTAATAATATTAATGTTTCTGTATGTTTATTGATAAAACATTACTTATGATGACCTGGAAGTTATAAATTTAATGACAAATAAGAACGGCTGGCCCATTAATGGTTTAAATTTTCTGCCTCTTCATTGTCCATCTTATTACACATAAACGTTTCTGTGGCACTGGATTATTTATTTGGTATCGATATTCATAAATTTGTAAGTTGCTACCAAACGGTGGTCAGACTCGGCGACTTGGTTGATGGCGTGTCATACCCTGACACCGTGGATCGTTGCTCACGATCAATGAATTGTCTGGTCAGGACTCGATTATTTACACGTCGCCGCCATACAGCTGGAATATTGCTGAGTGCTGCATTAAACAACAAATAACAACAGGTATTATAGAAATAATGCAAGTTAAATGCTGGACAGCACTGTATATTCATTACTCCTTCTCCAGATCTGACATCGCTGAGTCTTGAAGACGTGGACTCTGTATCAGAAGCCGACCGTGACACCCTCGCCCCCCTGCCACCCCCTGCGTGGAACAATCAATACCCCTACAGCAGCTCCAACTACTTGCCCCAGAACCTCAGCTATATACCCCCCTACAGCTACACAAGCACTGACAACACCAGCTACGTCGGCAGCTTCGTCGACGGCATGCCGCCCCCACCTGTTGGTGCAGTGCCCCCTGGTGGTGGAGGTAATGGCAGTGCAGGGAGTGTCCATAGTGCATCAGGTAAGGCGGTGGTTGTGGAAATAGAATGTTTTTGGGTAGTATGTCTTCCTACTTATCATCCCTTTGAGGACGAATGGAATTGTCCGTTCAGATCCATCATCTATGGATTGATTCATTTTGGTGTAGGTTTCTTTTTTTAAAGAGAGTTTGTGTTTTATGTATCAACCTGTCTCCCCTTCAATGTAAATGGTATTGTCCATTCCTAGCCAAAAAGAATCCTTAGCTTTGTATATAATTGTTAGAGTATTTTGGTTATAGGGGGTTTGTCAATTTGACAAAGAAAGTTTGTGCAGAGAATCCAAAATTACTGCTGTTTTATTTCTCGCTTTGCTTTATTTGAGCTTGCAATTGAGACAAGTTAAAAGTATTTCATTTCAATTTGCTTAAACTTGAGTTCATGTTAAAGTTAAGATGTATTTTTCTATGTTCCCATTTTTATGATGAAAATAAGCATTTTGTCTCTGTTTATATTTATTGGCTTGCCAATTAGACATTAATGGCTGTGGGTGATTTGCTTTTACTAACCTAATATTTAGTCTTGCTAATGCTCAACTAAGTACATTCTTATTATGTGCCTATGAAACATGTGTTTGAATGTGATATATTAATATAAAAGAATGAGAACAATAAACAAATGTTGGTTGCCAAAGACCTCTTTGGCCATGACTAGTTGGAAATATTGACCGGGGTGGTTAATCTTGACCAAATATTTTCCATTTATGTTAAGATCATTTTCATTTTATTGAATGTAATCTCAAACTTTGAGGAATTTAAGAACTATAATTGGATGCGTTTGAGTCAAAGGGAGATAACTGTGGTGTTACTTGCTAAAGGAACATAACCTAAGAAATGGATTAAGTGTTCCAAGATATTTTGGACAACTATGTTTCTACTTTGCTAAAGAAACACTGCTATGAGAAACTGATTAAGCCTACAGGTATTATCCAAGATATTTTGGACAACCATGGTGTAAATTTACTGAAGAAACACTGCTTTGAGAAACTGATTAAGCCTATAGGTATTATCCAAGATATTTTGGACAACCATGGTGTAAATTTACTGAAGAAACACTGCTTTGAGAAACGGATTAGGCCTATAGGTATTATCCAAGATATTTTGGACAACCATGGTGTAAATTTACTGAAGAAACACTGCTTTGAGAAACGGATTAGGCCTATAGGTATTATCCAAGATATTTTGGACAACAGAGAGGACAGATGACCTGATGGTACTAGTTGTTGCTGTTGTACTAATGTGAAATTCAAAGGCTAACTTTGATTTGTTTGTTTGTTCCTTACTCTGCAGTAGCATGATACGGGCAAGTCCGTCTTACCGTTGCTTGCAACTCTTGCTTCCTAGCTGCTGCTTGTTTTATTTGCCACTTGTCACATTACCATGGTTGTCCTGGCGACACCTGCGTTGTCATGGCTGCATGTTGGTTGCTAGGTCACGGCCACACATGCTTAGTCTGCGAGACATTTCAGTCTGGGTCACATGACCTGCTTCTTTGCTTCAGAGCATCTTTCATTATTCATATTGGAATCTCTCACAAATTTTCTGATCTTTGTTGAACTGGTATGTGGAGATACTCTGTAAACGGATGCATTGTGAAGAGTAAGGTCAAGGTCGTTAATATGTATCTAGGATAAAGTATGGAGTCCAGATATAACAAGTGGTTAATTTGTAAACTAGTTATTTAAGATCTGTGGTTATCATTTGATTGTGATGGTGATTCATCAGTTCCGAGCATGTCACACTCACTCACTCACTCCCTCCCTCCCCACCCTCCCGGCATGACATTCACACACATCACGTCAAGCATGCTTCTCTGTGTTGCTCGTTATGCATGCCTAGTTGCTTGCACACTTCGCTTCATTCATGTCCCGAGTCTGGCCAGGAATGCCAGCTGTTGTACTGTGTTGTTTCAATATGTGTGATTTTCTTTTGATTTCCTGTTGATTTCAGTCGCTGCTAAAGACTGTACATGTTTAGTTAGTACATACAATCATTTGCGCAAGCTTTGGGAAAATAAGGATAAACAAAGTGCCCATCACCATCAACAGTCCTCCTCGTGTGATCCCCACCGGCGTAGCTTGGCGGAGCACACCGCCCACGCCATGCATGGGAGCAGACATCATATTGCATGGAGGAGAAATTCCTCGAGTAGTTTGGGTTTGTAGTCTTCTCCTTGCACTTCCGTCAACCCCCCTCCAAAAAGTTGACTGCTGATTGTTTGGTCACATGATTTGCCCTTCTTTTGTCCACCCTCAGTTTGAAATGAAACAAGTTTCGGATTTGTATTGACAAAAAACTTTACTTCTGTTTTTAAAGTCACATTATTAAATATGTGACTTTGATGGGGCATTTGCAAATTCCTATACTGTAACCCTCTCACTGAGATGCCTCTGGAAACTGACCAGCTTTGTGAGGCTATCAAATATTTTCTCGCCATGGACATCCTCAAAGTACTTGACAGTTGTGGCTTAAGTGTTAACTGATCAGTGACCTTGAGGTACTGTTATGTACATGAAGTAATGGTTAATAATTTGACTTGATAGTAAGTAGCCAGTCTTCAATGTTAATGTTTCTCTCTCTGAAATAATCATTTGACTGACACACCAGCAGGCAACTGAGCTACGGGGACCCTATCTAGATTATCCTAAACATAGTTGTAGATGTATTTTATTTCCATCATCAGTAACTGTATGTGTAGTTATTTAAATCAGTGTTTATGATGTACTTTATGTATTAGGGCTGGGACGAGTCCAAATTTACTACCCGGGTACCCGACCCCCTATTACCCGACCCTACCCGGGTACCCACTGCAAGTTTCAAGAGTTGGGAACAAAATGCCTGATTGGTAATTGTTTACCGCAGCCCTGGCTAAAAGATACAGATACTATTTAGATACATGTATCAAACAATCAGATCATGCGTTCGCTGAAGTTTACTGAAGCTTGTTCTTTGCTCAAACATATACAAGTCAAAAGGAATGTGTGCATCGTCAGAAGGAAATGCGAACATTAGCGACATTAGTGTAACCGCTGCGCTATAGTGAGTTTTTGTCATTTAACAATATATCACGTGACTAACCACGGGTCCGGGTAGTCCTGTGGGTACCCGGGTCCTACTCAGGACCCATCCGACACGAGTACCCGAGTTACCCGTCCCAGCCCTATTATGTATGTTAGAATTAGCCTGTTAGGTTTATTTGTCAGCATGTTGTAGTATGTTAGAACTAGCCTTTAGGTGTCTTTGTCAGCATGAAAGAAGTCAACTGTTTGTATATGTGGTTAGTATTAATAGATAGTGTTTTATTGATACAAAAATAAGGCATGCTTTTAAAGTTAGAAAAATGGCCCCATCCTGTTTGAGCATATTATGTGTTAGTAATACCATGATTAAGGCCAAACGGTAAGAGAATAGTCTTTGTAAAACAAACTGAGTACTTAATGGTATGGATAATTGTGAAATAAGTACTTTCCATAACTGCATCAGCTAATCTAACGCATCACACATACTGCTGCCACTAATTCCTCCGTCATTGCTACTAATGCTGGGTAGACAAGTTAACATCAATATTGAATTAACTGCAAGAGATCCTAATGGACATTGTGATATGCTGTGTATTTTACCGTTTGTAGTTTACTCCAAATTGTCATGGAATATGGATACTTATAAACCTGTCACAAAGCTATGACTTGATGGACTAAATCTTCAATATCGGACTGATTACACATGTTCAGGGCATATTTGTATCTCGTATTAAAATTAAATATGTGTCTTGAGAATAAGGACTTCATCCAATGTGTTTTAGACTACTTTCATGTCTGGTCAGTAAAGGTTTTAATGTGGATCATGTGGTGATACTGACCAATAAATTGATAAGTATGCTGTTGGCTGTGAAACTATCCTCTCATGCAGTGTAAAAGTATACAAAGGGAGATAATTACAAAATGTGTCAGTTAAAGGGGAGATAATTCCAGTCAGGAAGGAATATATAGATATTACAGATATTATTTTGGCTGACAATTTCAATTTCCTTGTTTCAAATCTGTCTCATGTATTATGTTCATTTTGTGGAGTCATGATCAGTCTCTTTCATTCATTGTCACAACATCAAGTTTTAAACTAAGTTGATTGTTTTCAAGAACAGTTCATTTGCTCTTTCTGCATGAAGAGTTCCAAGCAGCATTAAGTGAAGACATTTACCAAGTAGAAGCAGTTTTAGAGTTGTCTTTTCTTGATTGTCAGTTGTTAACTATGACCTGAGCAGTTGTTGGTGGAACATTTCATTGTTTTGCTAAACTCCTGTGCATGATGTACGAATGGTGTTGCATCTACAGATTGATCATCATAACATGGCACATGTAACAATATGTCTCCTGTCTGTACCTACACTGAGTGATATCTATCTTCCTTTGTGGAAGTGATACCTGCAGCTCACAAACTCATCAATACTGGCACATGCTACATAGATACTTATTATCAACTTATGGCACCGGCAGCTCACAAACTCATCAATATTGGCACATGCTACATAGATACTTATTATCAACTTATGGCACCGGCAGCCCACAAACTCATCAATATTGGCACATGCTACATAGATACTTATTATCAACTTATGGCACCTGCAGCCCACAAACTCATCAATATTGGCACATGCTACATAGATACTTATTATCAACTTATGGCACCTGCAGCCCACAAACTCATCAATATTGGCACATGCTACATGGATACTTATTATCAACTTATGGCACCGGCAGCCCACAAACTCATCAATATTGGCACATGCTACATAGATACTTATTATCAACTTATGGCACTGGCAGCCCACAAACTCATCAATACTGGCACATGCTACATAGATACTTATTATCCCCCGCCGCGCGAAGCGGGGGATATAGTATTCACGACCGTCCGTACGTCCGTACGTCCCACCTGTTTGTTGCCGCGATATCTCAAGAACTAAACACTGGATTGTCTTCATATTTGGAACTATGGTGTATATACAGACTCCGCAGACACCAGTCGGTTTTGGTGACCTTGATCCCATTTTCAAGGTCACAGCAGACAAATCTGCTTTTAGAGTTGGAAAACGGTGTTGCCGCGATATCTCAAGAACTAAACACTGGATTGTCTTCATATTTGGAACTATAGTGTATATACAGACTCCGCAGACACCAGTCGGTTTTGGTGACCTTGATCCCATTTTCAAGGTCACAGCAGGCAAATCTGCTTTTAGAGTTGGAAAACGGTGTTGCCGCGATATCTCAAGAACTAAACACTGGATTGTCTTCATATTTGGAACTATGGTGTATATACAGACACCGCAGACACCAGTCGGTTTTGGTGACCTTGACCCCATTTTCAAGGTCACAGCAGGCAAATCTGCTTTTGGAGTTGGAAAACGGTGTTGCCGCGATATCTCAAGAACTAAACACTGGATTGTCTTCATATTTGGAACTATAGTGTATATACAGACTCCGCAGACACCAGTCGGTTTTGGTGACCTTGATCCCATTTTCAAGGTCACAGCAGGCAAATCTGCTTTTAGAGTTGGAAAACGGTGTTGCCGCGATATCTCAAGAACTAAACCTCTCGATTGTCTTCATATTTGGAACTATGGTGTATATACAGACACCGCAGACACCAGTCGGTTTTGGTGACCTTGACCCCATTTTCAAGGTCACAGCAGGCAAATCTGCTTTTGGAGTTAGAAAACGGTGTTGCCGCGATATCTCAAGAACTAATCGCTGGATTGTCTTCATATTTGGAACTATAGTGTATATACAGACTCTGCATACACCTGTCAGATTTGGTGACCTTGACCCCATTTTCAAGGTCACAGCAGGCAAATCTGTTTTTGGAGTTGGAAAACGGTGTTGCCACAATATCTCAAGAACTAATCGCTGGATTGTCTTCATATTTGGTACTATGGTGTATATGGCGGGGGATATTTCGTCACTCTGTGACAAATACTTGTTATCAACTTATGACACCGGCAGCCCACAAACTCATCAATGTTGGCACATGCTACATAGATACTTATTATCAACTTATGGCACCGGCAGCCCACAAACTCATCAATATTGGCACATGCTACATAGATACTTATTATCAACTCATGGCACCGGCAGCCCACAAACTCATCAATATTGGCACATGCTACATAGATACTTATTATCAACTTATGACACCGGCAGCCCACAAACTCATCAATACTGGCACATGCTACATAGATACTTATTATCAACTTATGGCACTGGCAGCCCACAAACTCATCAATATTGGCACATGCTACATAGATACTTATTATCAACTTATGGCACCGGCAGCCCACAAACTCATCAATATTGGCACATGCTACATAGATACTTATTATCAACTTATGGCACCGGCAGCCCACAAACTCATCAATATTGGCACATGCTACATAGATACTTATTATCAACTTATGGCACCGGCAGCCCACAAACTCATCAATATTGGCACATGCTACATAGATACTTATTATCAACTTATGACACCGGCAGCCCACAAACTCATCAATATTGGCACATGCTACATAGATACTTATTATCAACTTATGGCACCGGCAGCCCACAAACTCATCAATATTGGCACATGCTACATAGATACTTATTATCAACTTATGGCACCTGCAGCTGTATCATTTCACTTCATGTCATCGTGTCCCAATTGCGTGGATCGATGCTCATGATGTCAATCACTGGATTGTCTGGTCCGGACTTGATTTTTTACAGACCACCGCCATATAGCTGGAATATCACTGAGTGCGGCATTAAACTTCATTTCTGTATAATTACTTCTTTGAACGATCAGTCTTCAGTAAAAATAGGATGATGTTTTGTTTCTACTTGCATCATGTACCACTGCATCTTGCCTTCATTTTTTTTTTTTTAATTTTACGGGAAAGAGAGAATAGATTGTAACCACACTTTCATTCTATTTGTGACGACTCTTGAATTTTATTCTGCTCTTCATGCATTGTCTTACTTCTAAAATGGGGGAAAAAATGACTTACCTGTAAAACTGTCAAGTATATTTTTCATCTTACCAGCCACATATTATTTTTTTTTCAGTTTACCAAGAATAATTATATTTGTATTAACAACATCAAATTTAATAATCTGTAAACAGAA